AGAGCATTCTCACAAGCCAAGATCTCATCAACTTTCTGGAAAAACTTGTTATTTTGTTTCGCTTAAGCTGATAAAAGACTGATAGTTGGAGAGTTTCTCAAAATCACATGACTTCCTTCATGTATTCACTAAATTTCGCATACTTTTGCTACCGAAAGGTTTCCCCATCCCGAATGGACAAACGCTTCGGTCTCATCTGAACTGGCTTCCTCAACAACCCGACGAGAATCGGATTCGGGTTGTGGAAATGCAGCCAATACTCTCGACACGCAGTGGAAACATGCCGAAATCATACTCTGCACTACCATAACCCAGGTTCGAGTCCCGCTGGAAGGACTGATGAGACCATTTCAGAAAGAGCCGAAATGCCATTTCCTTCAAGCCGTGGTTAAAATAACTTTTGGGAGGCAAGACTATGTGAAATTTAGTAAAGAAGTGGGGCCAACTCATTGAAATGTGGGAAAATTAAACTTTATATTATAGATCATCTTAAACAAAATGGGATGAATGCATCCCATATACATTGTTACTCAGCTCCAGAAGGTATAGGATTGACTGACTTGAAGATCTAACGAATGAATCCATTGGAACGTTTAAATCTACTTATTCAGCTAAATCGTACACAAATACATTTTAGCATAGGGCAGAGTGAATTTGCCTACTTATTTCGATATGAGTAGCTTCCGTAAATATCAGCAACTTTTGAATAAGGTCGCTTAGGATAATTTAAAGACTCATGTCATTGTGGGTAAGTTCCATTATCCGTTGTTTAATGCTAAGTGAATAGCCGATGCATAAATTTCGTATGCCGCTAATGTTTGCCCATTTCGGCATCGCACTACCTAACTCCAGACGAGTAGGCATGTCAGGCTAAAAGAAATTGCGAATTTTAATTTTTTCTTGTACTTCACTCAAGAATTCGTCGTCAAGACCGTTTGATTCGGATTCAAGGACCGTCGTTCACCTGCTCGCTGCACGGCCCATACAGACGCTACAAGGAGTATCTAAGAGGCTTGATCCCTTGGCTCATCATCATTATCGCCTTCTTCCTAATCCCATTGACTCTGCTTCTCAATGCTGGCCAAGTTAGTCAAAGCATGCATTAGGCTGCATTTTCTTGCAATGCTTTTTGTCAAGACATTTCCACTTAGTGTTTTAGTATTATTTATATTTAATTTTTCGTCAATTATCGTATGTTATTATTTTAATTATAATCTTCAAGCCTTCTCATTCGCTTGACATTTATTGTTGTTGAATCACAGGTAGTCACTAATAAATTGCTATTTTGGCATCCCTCTCGCCAGCCTTGAACTAAGGAGCTCATGCAAAATTGTGTATTTTTTGAAAAGGCTGAGGCGTATTCAACTTATTTCATTTAAAGTGATAAGGGGACTGGTACATGAATTTTCATTGAATTTCACACAGCCTCGCTTGCCCAAAAGATATTCACATCCAGGCAGGAGTAGACTGCAGTTTTGGTCTGGCCTGTTTTAGTTTCTTCAGCACCCCCAACGGGACTCGAGCTAGGACCACTTTGCAACAGTGTCACCATTGCTCTTCGGTCATAGAGAAGATGGGAATTTCAAGGAATCCCATACATTTGCTCAAATCACATTCTGTGATGGGATTGTCGATTAAGCAAAGTTGTATCTGCTATAGCAATGGAATATATTACTTATTTCTAGTTTGGAAGTAGGTTTTAGAGACCA